AATCGCAGGTCACGTCCGAGAGCGCTCAGAGATATCTCTCAGAGACACCACAGCGAGACACAGCCGTCAAGCTAACAATGATGCACAGGGCGCGTAACGTCCAGCTTCTCCCCTCTGGCTTTTCTCTCTCTCTCGGGTACATTCCGCAACGCATCGTATCTGTTCACGAGCACACTGCTGTCCGGTTTCGAAGAGGCATACTGAAGAGAGAAATTCCCTACAGATTTTTCATTTTTATGCATCATGAGCTTGACTATTGTATCTTGACGTTTCGCAGCTCGGCGCATCCTCCGGGCGAGCATCCAGTAACGTGCCGAGTGCAGCAGACGTAGTATCGACGTCGCACTCGGCACGGGCGAGCCTCTCCGCCTGCGTGTAGTCTAACGGCGCTCCGATGTTGCCGATGACGTTCGATGCGTTCGACGTCGCGAAGTGGACGCTGAGTTCCGGGAGCCGCGGGACGCTGTGGTTTGTGGTGCCGGGCTCGGTGCAGTGGTGTAGGTTGAGGAGGAAGTGGGAGATAGCAGATTCTCGGTGGACGAGTCCTGAACGGGTCCACGCAGGAGGAATTCAATGAAGCCGGTGAAGGATAGACAGGTAGACTACGAGAGGTCAGTGTTGGTCCAAAGCCTAGAAGAGGTGCCATATGCCATTATCGGGAGAATAAAAAGTGGGTTGGTGGTGCTCATAGCGAGCAGGATATACTACAGTCCGGTCAGAACACGCCGAAAGTGTTGATGTCATGGCCACGCACAGGATATAAGGGTTCCATCGCAACGAAGAGGACCTTACTGTCTCGGAGGAGGCACATCATGACTGGCAAGTGCATGTTCACATGGCGAGTACCGGTCGTAGTACTAGTACTTAGTACCATAATCTTTTCTTTCCCCAGCGTTTATGCAAGAGCTTCGGGCTCTGTCAGGGTCTGCACTTCTGATGTCTGTCCCTGGATGGTCTGAAGAGACTACTATGAATTGCATGTTACATCCGAGAACATCGCCATAAGCGCCCTATCGCGCGGCCGCGCCAAACACTGAGCGCCGAAGTGCAGTCTTTCCCTTGCAAGATCAGCTAAAAGCTGGTTGAACATGAATTTGTGTTTCACCTATGGGCCCTGAGGCCTGAAGCCTGAAGGCCTGAAGCGCGGAGGTGTGGAACTCCTCGGACCTGCGCCCTCCGTCAGCAACCTCGTGCGACCTGCCACGTATGCCGCTCACCTGTGTTTCGCAGCTCTACACGTCCTCTATCCTCCGGGCGAACACAGAGTCACGCGCCGATGGTAGCCGACGCAGTATCAGACAAGGACGCGTCGCTCTCGTCTCCAGGGAACTCGTACTCGGCGCGGATCAGCTCCTCAGCCTGCGTGTAGTCTAGCGGTGCGCCAATGTTGCCGATGACATTCGACACATTCGGCGTCGCAAACTGGACGCTGAGCTCCGAGAGCCGCGGGATGCTAGGGTCTGTGATACCGGGCTCGGTGCTGGAGCGCAGGTTGAGGAGGAAGCGGGAGACGAGGATAGGCGGCTACATGGGAGTTCTGTCAGCGGATGCTCGGTGGACACGCCCTGAACGGCTCCACGCACGATGAATTCAATGAAGCCGCTAAAGGGTAGAGTCCAGGACTGCAAGAGGTCAGCTATGCCTCAAAGCCGAGGATAGATGCTGCATACCGGGAGAATGGTGGCTATATTGGTGACGTTGATGGTGAGCAGGAGGCTGCAGTCTGGTCAGAACACGTTGAAGGTGTTGACGTCATTGTCACGCACAGGAAATAGACAGCGCCTTTTCACGAAGCATGAGCAGTAGTTCTATCGCAACGAATAAGACCTTACCGTCTCGGAGGAGGCACGCCGTGATTGGCAAGTGCATGTTCACACGGTGGGCACTCCGCCACTGCTGGAATGTCTTTGTCCATGTTACAACCAAGGCAATGATATCGGCGACGACTAAGGAGTATCTCGTGAGTAGTACCACTGCCAGGTCCCGTCAGTAGAATTTCCAGGTTTCATTAACCCCAGGAAACATACGTCTGACCAGGGCGCGTCAGCAATGTGATTATGTCTCGTCAACAGAGCATACATACTTTGTATGCAGTGAATCCGGTATTCCAACGATATCTAAGAGACACGACCCACTGTCGAAGTTATAGACAAAATGGGCTATTGTGTACTGTGAAAACTCGAGTGAGCGGGGGTGGCATCACAGATTTAGTAATTACATGAACTGACCAGGTTCGTCCCAGCGGGCATCATAGTCAGGACGAGAACAAGTGCAAATAACGCGTAGTTTTTGTCTGCTAGTGCATATACTCGTAGTGCCGTGAACACTAACGACAAACCTTATTCAGCACACCTGATACAGTCTCATGACGAGAACTTACGAGCACTTTGCACGAAGCCGACGATCTCGAGCACGTTCTCTAAGACTGAACTTGCCATACATCTGTGGCATCGCATCAGTCAATCAAGTAGTATCAAAGCGAAAAACATCTGACCCCCAGTGGTTTTATCAACGCCATGTCAGACACGATTGATCGTGACAATGCACTCACCCTGTAGGACGTGGCTGGTGCAAACAACAGTACGCCGTTCGCGATCATGGTCCAGCGGATGCTAATCAGCAGCATAGACGTCGCCGTCTTCTTCCTCTGCCACGCGGTGATGACCTCCAGGTCAAAGTTGATGACGAATGTATATGGAGAGTGCTTAGCGGGAGGAGTGCGTTAACAGCCAGGGATCACTGGGATGCGTGTGTGTGACTCACCTCCCACGGCGTTGCCAACGCAGTTGCCGAAGAACCTGCGATAACCATCAGCTAGGCCTCTCAGCGAACGGAACTAACTCACTCACGCTAAGTACAGCTCCGATATTAGTTCCGCGTTTGTATCGGATGACATGTTATAGATGCTCTGTTCTTGAAGCCTGGAGAGACTCGGGCTCCTTCTCCTGAGCTTTATACACGAAAGATCCTCAGGCGAAGGCTGCGGCGCCACAGCGACGATAGCAGATTCGCCACCAACGTAGGGACAATATATCACTCATCACCGAGTCGTTGGTTTCACGCGCAGATCCGAACTTTGTCCGGGTGCTGCATAGTGTGTACGCGGACGTCCCGCTCATCTAGGAGCATAATACGCACCAGTGTCAACTTCAGAAGGTCCAGGACAGTCTGCGCACGCATACACACCTTTGGCTGCTGTCCAGCCTGCAAGGCAGCGACTCGCACCGCCTCACGAGACTTGTGCACTGGTCTGCTCTCAACCAGCCACCCGGAGCACTGGTACTGTGAACCCGATGGCCCCGGAAGGTGCCCGCTGAACGTGAACGTTGAACCATCTGCAGTGAATCACAGCATCAAACCTAGAAGGCCCACTTGCAATCACAGCAGCTACGCCGTGGTTGGCAGCAACTGAGCGCAAGCTTGCTCACTGCAGAGACTCTGATTCTCGACAGCTCAGTGCTGGAGTTTGGGCAACGGCCAAGCATGGTGGCCACTGTAGCGGTCGTCCACATATTGATGCCGCCAGAATATTCGAAGGATGAATGCCAAGTTTGAAGCGCTTGCATACTGTTCCGGTCAGAAAATCGTATTTTTGGCTGAAGCTACGATGATAGCCCTTATCCGTGGCGTCCGCGGTCCGCCCTCAAACTAACCGGTCATAGTCGTGTTGCGATCTCTCGTGCCTTTCCCTTCCCCGACGTCTGCGCAAAAACTTCAGACTCGTCAGAGCCTGCACTTCCGATGTCTGTTCCCCTCGAGCCTCCCTTGTGCTCGCTCCACTCCCACAAAGCACACTCCTGCTCCTCATCCCACATGTTGAGCAACTCCTCGAGGAAAGTATCCCAGAGGCGCCACAACGCTTCAAGTCGCAATGCAGAGAGAAGGGAGAGAGTGGAAAAAGCAAGGGCTCGAAGAGATTATATCAGTGTCTAAGATACGCAGTAGTGATCTGCGCCGCTCTCGCAGTCGCAGCCATCGCCATTAGGTGCTGGAGGCTGTATGGCCTATTTCTCAGCACATAGGCCCGCAGAAGTAGTCGATGATATGGTTGGTCGTACTGTACAGATAAAAGCAAAGTTCTGGCGACTCTAGAGGACATCAGGTCGGTAGCATCGAGCTAGCAGGTCTCGGCAAGTTCGGTAGATGCTCGTCTACCCTCGCTTGTCAATTCAGCTGAAGATAGAGACGTTGTGGGTCCTGAAACGCATCGGTGTAGAACTCCTCGGACCTGCGCCCTCCGTCAGCAACCTCGTGCGACCTGCCACGTATGCCGCTCACCTGTGTTTCGCAGCTCTACACGTCCTCTATCCTCCGGGCGAACACAGAGTCACGCGCCGATGGTAGCCGACGCAGTATCAGACAAGGACGCGTCGCTCTCGTCTCCAGGGAACTCGTACTCGGCGCGGATCAGCTCCTCAGCCTGCGTGTAGTCTAGCGGTGCGCCAATATTGCCGATGACATTTGACACATTCGACGTTGCAAAGTGGACGCTGAGCTCCGAGAGCCGTGGGATGCTGGGGTCTGTGATGCCGGACTCGGTGCTGGAGCGCAGGTTGAGGAGGAAGCGGGAGACGAGGATAGGTGGCTACGCAGGAGTTCTGTCAGCAGATGTCCAGTGGAAGCGTCCTGGGATCCACGCACGAGAAATTCAACGAGGCCGGTGAAGGGCAGGGTGACGGACTGTAAGAGGTTAGCGATGGTTCAAAGCCCAAGATCGATGCTGCATACTGGGAGAATGGAAGTTACATTGGCGATGTTGATGGCGAGCAGGATGCTGCAGTCTGGTCAGAACACGTCGAAGGTGCTGATGTCATTGTCACGCACAGGAAATAGACAGTGCCTGATTACGAATGCATGAGTAGTGGGTTTACCGCGGCGAATAAGACCTTACCGTCTCGGAGAAGGCACGTCGTGACTGGCAAGTGTATGTTCACACGGCGGGCACTCCGCCACTGCTGGAAGGTCTTTCTCCATGTTACGGCCAAGGCAATGGCATCGGCAGCGACTAAAGAGCATCTCGTGAGCAGCACCACTGCCAAGTCCCGTTAGTAAAGTCTTCAGTTTCATTAACCCCAGGAAACATACGTCTGACGAAGGCGCGTCAGCAATGTAATTATGTTTAATCAATAGAGCATGCGTACTTTGTATGCAGTGAATCTGGTATGCCAACAACATTCAAGGCACACGATCCACTGTCATGATAATAGACATAATGAGCCATCGTATACTATAAAAACCCTGGTGAGCAAGTGTGACATCGCAGGTTTACAACATGAACTGACCAGGTTCGTCCCAGCTGGCATCATACTCAGGACGAGAACAAGTGCAGATAACGCGGAGTTTCTGTCTGCCAGTGCATAGACTCGTAGTGCCGCGAACACTAGCGACAGGTTCTACTCAGTAAACCTGATAATTTTTACGATGGGAACTTACAGGCATTTTGCGCAAAGCCGATGATAGAGAGTGCGTCCACTAAGACCGCGGCTGCTACGCATCTGTGGCACCGCATCAGTTAACCAAGTAGTATTAAAGCTGAAAACATCTGACCCCTAGTGGTTTCAAAATGCCATGTTAGACACCATTGATCAAGGCAGCTTGAATATACTCACCCTGTAGGACGTAGCCGGTGCAAACAACAGTACGCCGTTCGCGAGCATGATCCAGCGGATGCTAATCAGCAGCACAGACGTCACCGTCTTCTTCCTCTGCCAAGCGGTGATGACCTCCATGTCAAAGTTGATGATGAATTCGTATAACGAGAGTGCTTAGCAGGAGAAGTGCATCAGCAGTCAAGGATTACTAGAATGCGTGAGTGTAGCTCACCTCCCATGGCGTTACCAACGCAGTTGCCGAAGAACCTGCGATAATCGTCGGCTAGGCTTTTCGGCGAGCGGAACGAACTAACTCACACTGAGTACAGCTCCGATACTATTTCTGCGCTTGCATCGGAGGACATATTGTAATGTTCGCTCGCTCTGGTGGTGAATACTGAGTACTGAAGGTTGAAGGGGCTCGGGCTCTTCGCTCTTGAGCTTTATACGCGAAGATCCTTAGGCGAAGGCTGCGCCGCGCCACAGTGACGATAGGCAGGTTTTCCATCAAACAGAGTAGGAGCAACATATGAATCATCACCAGTTCACCGGTCTCACGCGCAAATCTGAACCTTGTCGGGATGCTGTGTACGCCAGAGCCGCCCAGCCGCCGCAGACATCTCGTTCAGAAATGTCCCTCCATCTAGAAATGAAGTAAGCACCAGTGTCAACTTGAGAGGGCTCAGGATAATATACCTGTGCCTTTCCCTGCCAATTGGCTTGCAAGGCAGCGACTTGCACCGCTTCACGAGACTTTTGAGGCGTGCGCTGATCCACTTCAACCTACCAGAGCGACTATGCGCCCGATGATCTCGAGAGGTACCCGCTGAACCATCTGCAGTGACAGGTGAGTCACAGCATCAAACACAGATGACCTACTTGCAGCGACAACATCTTCGCCATACTGGCAGCACCCGAGCGCAAGCCTGCTCGGAGACTCCGATTCCCGACAGCACAGCGTTGGGGTTCGAGCAACGGCCAAGCATAATGGCCATCAGTAGCAATCGTGCATATATTGATGCCGCCTGGATATCCGAAGGCGCGATTAAGTTTATCATGAAACACCTGCTTACTATGATTCCGGTCAGAAAACGTATCCTCGACTGAAGCTACGAGGACAACCCTTACCCGCGCGGCGTGCGTTCTCGAACTAACCGGTCACAGTCGTGCTGCGATCTGTCGCGCCTTCCCCTTCCCCACCGTCTGTGCAAAAATCTCAGGCTCCTTGTCAGAGTCTGCGCTTCCAATGTCCATTTCTCTTGGTTGCCCCTCTACTCCATCCGCGAGCCTCTCTTTGTGCTCGCCCCACCACCACAGAGCATGCTCCTTCTCCTCATCCCCCACGTTGAGCAACTCCTCGAAGAAAGCCTTTATAATATCTTTTCTGCCGTCCTTCTGGCCCCAAGATCGGTCTTTGTCAGCCGCGGCGTCGGGTGAATACGACTTAGACGCTGCTGGGCTTTCCAGTAATTTGAGGATTGCCGCGAGTAGTCGCGGAAGAAGTCGTAGTGAAACGGATGGAACAGTCGAGACCAGTGTCAAGAGTAGCTTCTGTCGATGTTCGTTTTCCTGCTCCGTAAGTGCCCCCGCAGCGTAGGTATTGATCGCGTCCAGCAAGAGCTCGACGCAGAACCAGGCGTACGCGTCGCCTTCTGGTGTTCGCGCCTCCGCTCCTCTATTCCCATCGCTGCTTGTCGCGAGTTTATGTTGGGATGAGCCGAAGACGGATGCACAGCTGACGAGCGCGCCATACGCCATACGCAGCTGGGCCGTGTTCAGCTTGTCCGGGTGCGAGTTCTACGCGAACGGTCAATTAGAAGAGCACATGCAACTGGATGTGGTCGCACGTACATCAATGAGGCATTTTGCGTACGCTGGCACGACTTGTTCCGCAAACGGCAGCTGTGCTTCCTCCGCAATCCCTGAGCTTTTGGAATCGATCCCCGAGCTCAGACCCGGAGCATCTAGTGGAGTGGCTGCTGTTATAGGCAACGGCGCAGCGACGATAGTAGACGCGTCGCCAGCCCGCCGCTTCTTCGCATGTGCAGAGAACATGGCAAGCATAACGCTATGTGCAGACTCGTATGTCTCCCGATGTGGGGAGTCATTGAGATGCCTGAAGAACGATGTAAGCAAGACAAAGTAAGATCGAAGCTATACTAGAAGACGTACGGTTCACACATCGGCCATACGTCTTCTCTCATGGTCCTGTCATCAAGTACGGGCACAAGTTGCTCGACACAAGCTAATGCGTACGCTTCTTTCGCTTTGACGAGACCGCCAGGTAGAGCTCCACAGGGCCAATCTCAGCTCACGATCCAGGCTATGCAGAGTCTTAACGGTACCTTTTTGTCCCATCGAATACACCTCTTGCTTCAGCGTCCGAACTAGCAGCCGACTTTGATCGGGCGAGGTAGATAGCACGTCAAGCGCTGTGTAGAACGCTTTCAGCAGCTCGGGCAGCGCTGAAGATGCCGTCGACGAGACACCCCCGAAGCGCGGAAGTATAAAAGAGAGATGGGACAGCGTCTTCAAAGCTGTGCGTGCCATCTCGAACGGCGAAGGGGACCATGTGTTCGACAAGCCATGAGGGACTGGCAAAGATATTAGGGGCGAGGGTGGAGGAGAAACAAACAGAACGACGTTGAGCACTTGTTGTAACAGGCGGATGCACGTGAACAGCAAGGTCTTGAGGATTGCCCACACCTTCACTGCGAGTTCTTTCGTCTCGGGCGCTGTCAGATCGGCCCGGTAGGTTAGCATAACCTTTCAGAGCTAGATTGAGTACCTACAGAAAGTTTCTTCATCGTCGATGCTTGCGAAGGGGTGCCTTGCCCACCCATCTTCTGCAGCGGTCGCTAGTTGGACCAGTGCACGCATAAGCTCTGAGATGGCCGTCCACGCGTCTAACGGCCGACCGTCTGCTAGTAGAGAGATGACCTGTGCATACATCGCAGAAAGGGTTGCCATATGCGCGAACAATAACCCCTTCGACACTTCGCCGACATTTCCCGAGAATTGCGAATCGGTCTGTGTGATAGCGGAGTTGGTACTTTATTGACAATACTACATGGTACACAAGTACTAACGGCGACGGAGAGCTTGCCTGCCTCGGTGATAACGGCAGAGGGTTGTAGTTCTTGAATAAACGTCCCATTCTGAAAGGCTTGAGTGAACGCGGACTGCAGTACGCGGCAGAAGCCGAGGAGCGGAAGTGCCCCCAGCCTGTGCGGTGTGACCAGTGGCAATGAGCGAGACGCAATGACAAGCGTTGCAGGTAACGCATCTAGGAGGAGTCTCCGCTGAGACGGAATACACATGAGATAGTTCGGCGCATATTCACCTTCTTCTCGTTGGGCTGTCAATCTAAACTCAGCCTCCCAGGGGTCCGCAGAGGCATACTCAACGACCTCAGCCAATGCGATGATGAGCTCTTCCTCCACACTTCGTCCCGCAAAGTTTTCCTTTATCTTTAGATCTGCCTCTCTGTCGGCCAATCCATGGAGCAAGCCCGCGCAGCATGCCAGCCTCAGGACGGAATGTCCGCCCTGGAAGCCCTTGAGCACCTCGGCGACCCATTCCGCGACACGAGTTGTCAGACCTCTTGAAAACAGTCCTGAGGGTTCGTCATAGACTACCTTGATCTTGAGGTGCACAGCATGACGGAAAGCAGTAAGTAGCCCGTCCAAGTCCGCATACGAGGACGTGTGGAAGAGCGGACTGCTTATGACGATCGCAGCGAGTGGTGTGGCAGACGGTTGGACGTAGGCGAGATGATGAGCAACGGAGCCGAGGATAGTGTTGAGGGGGAGGTTCGTTGAGTGTCTGTTGAGATGGCTGACGAGGTTGAGATAGCCTCGGTCAACAGACATTGTGGTGGTTCCGCGTAAGGGCGTCAGGCGCCATGTTCGCGTCACAGTCTGCGCTAGACTCTGCCTTCTCCTGTAGACCCTCCCGCTCAATGCAGTTCTTCGCCTCTCCCTTCGCTCGCTCGTTGATGCCTGTCTACCGACGCATATGGAAAGACTAGGAACTTAAAGTAGAAAGGCCCAGGCGTAACACGCGCGTGCGCAACCAAGTGATAGGACGTACCATCCTAAGGACCACGGCGACGAAGATTAAATGTTAATCCTTCCAAAGGCCAGTCCACAATGATGGATGAACGGGGAGAAGCAAAGATCTAGGCGCAAAATCTCCAACGAGTTGTATGGAATTGAATGGGTGTATGTGGACAGCTCAGAATTCGTCTATATGGCGAGACAGCTAATCCTCTGGCAGCATTTCCTGATACTCACCACTGCTTCGCTGGACACTCCTGATTAGCCTTCCTCGTGCCGAGATCATACCTGTCTTCAAGAAAACTCAGGCAAAAGCGGCTAAACAAGGCCCAGTTATTCCTCGATTCTACGTCGATGCAAACTGAGGAGAAACTGGTGCAAAACCAGCCAAAATGGTCTAAACACAGTGAAACTGGCGGAAACTGAGTTTTGCCTTTGGTTTTTTTC